CACATACATACACATACATTCACATACATACACATATATGCATACATACACATACATACAAATACATACAAATACATACACATACATACACATATACATACATATATACATATACATATATATACATCGAAAGCACCTCAAAGATGCACAAGGACAGCCCCCTTTGCCCGGCCTTACTCCAGCGTAGGGACCCATCGGGTCCCAGGCTGGCCATCTCCTGGCCATCTCGCCGGACCCAGTGGCCCTCCAAACGCTCCAGAAGGGTCTTCTCTTCCTGTTCGGGAAGGACGCCCCAACCGGTGCCCACCGGTGCCTTTCTGGGGTGGATCGACATGGGCCGACGCCGTAGTGACTATGGTGTTTTCATGAATCTGGAGGATGAGCGGTTCCTGGAATCACAACGGGAGGGGATCCTGCAAGAGAACGAAAGGGCAATAGTATGATGTATAGGCTTTGTAATTGTCTTTTCCCCTCCGTCATCTGGAAGTTGCTTCATCGACGGAATGTGCCGAAGTTCCTGATAATTCAAAACAGTCCTCCATCCTGCCAGTTGAACACACACACACACACTCACTTTTGGAAGTGCAACCATCTGCCCCAAGCCGACACCATTGGCCTCCCTTCGGATGGTGACGGAGGTGGAATCCCCAGGATCTCCACAGCCTGGGCCATTCACACAGGATTTGGCCAATCACCCAATCTAGGCCTTGTCCGACCAGGAGCACAAACGCAAGATTAACGGAGGGTATGTCAACTTGTCAACGGCTAAGATTCACGACTCAAGTGGTACCATTTTTAATGGAGTTCCAGCGGTATTCGCTGGGGTTGGCTTCGAGTGATGTCGGTTGAGCTGAATTGAATTTTTGCCTTGGTGTATGTGCATTGGATGTATACTCCGCATGCAAAACTTTCACTGTTGGCCTCTCTTGCGCAATCTATCTATCCCAGGAAAAAAGGGTTATATATGGGTTATGGATCTAGCCTTGACTTGATCAGGAAAGGGGTTAACTTGATCTAGCCGCTGATATGCCCTGATTGCATGACGCTGATGCCTTCGCTCTGATTCACAGTGACTCTGGGGCCAGAAGGCCCCAACCCGACCAACCCGAACCCGACCCCGCCCGACTGAATTCGACGGTCACACCCAGCGACCGAAGAGATCCTCTTCGTCGGAGCAGCGCTTGCAGGTCAAAGCGCCCATGGTGTGCACGGCCGGTACCGGACGAATTGGATCGATGGACGGTGTGTCTGGCTCGTGTGGACAGCACTGAAGTCAACACCGTGAACGCTAAAGTTACTCATTAAAAAGAAATAAAAAGAATCCATAAATCTACGGACATCTAAGGACTAAACGCTTCAGCTTGCAGTGGTTCTATCTGTTAAACTTGTTGAATGGAAATCTAGTTCTCCGATTCTCCAACATAATTCCTGCCCCATGTCAGCTCTATAGTACAAGCTTGTCAGTAGCTGAAAGCAGCGGAAGAATGTGAAGCATCTAAAACCTATCCACCAAAGCCACCACAACGGCCTTGCGGTGTCTGGTTCATCTAAGCGAGCGCACGCCAAAACCTATGGGCACAAAAGCGGACCTATATATATAATTATATATATGTTGGCATCGCTTTTGGTTGTTCGCTCTGTCACTCTACATTGTTTCGGATGTCTGTGTCATTTCTGAAGGCTTTCTCTTGAAATCACAAGAAAAATGAACAATCCATGGATATGGGTATATAGAAAGGGGGACAATAGAGACACGGAGAGAGAGGGAGAGGATTGGTAAGCCGGAAAGGGTCACTGCACACGGTCGCAGCGCGAGAAGGGTGAACAAGGAGAAACTAACCTTTGTGGGGAACAACTGTTATCTACGAATCCTGTGACCCTCATGGCTCAATGTCCTGAGCGTCTTTGAGCTGGGGATTCAGCTACCACCAGCACTCAAAGCCCCAGCCGCGCGTCTACCACCAGCCACGCCTGGGGAAGCCATGGCACCGGCCTGGGGAAGCCATGCCATCCGAACCAAAGCTTCTAGATCTTCTAGAGCCAACCACTACTCATGCGACCTCACGGAAATGAACTGCGGCTCCGCCTCACCAACCTGGAATTTTCCCCCAAAACTGATCCCTGCAAGAGGCCCCAAACAGGGTTGCGTGAGAATTGCGATGTGCATCTGTCCACATTTATTGTCAAAGACATGGAGATCTAGAGGTCCAGCCATATTGACGTTTGGAGGTCTTGAGCTCCAGAAAGGTCCAAGTCAAGAGCTCTAGGACCATGAGGTTCACAACATGCTGCGCCTGCAACCATATCTCCACTTCAAGGCTCACAAAGTGCTGCGCCTGCCACGAAATCTGCTTCAAGGTTCACAAAGCCCTGCGCCCGCCGCAGTTTTCTGCACTTCGACAGTTCACAGAATGCTGCACCTGCCAGGAAATCTGCACCTGTTTGAGGTTCACAAAGGTGTGCGGCTGCTCCAAAGTTCACAAAGTACTGCGATTGACACAAGATCTACACTCCCAGGTTCACAAAATGCTGCCAGCACCACGAAATCTGCACATCAAGATTCATATTGCACAGCACTGCCAAGGCATTCACAGCAAAAGGATTTCAAAGACAACATCAATATACCAAAATGGAGCTTTCGCTCAATACACCCAAGTCATGCTCGGCCCCAGCAGATTCTCACAACCACATGGGTATGTATATGTATATATAGCTTATATGTATATGCACGTGCATATATGTGTATAGTATAATTATGTATATATAGTTATATATATATATAAGTTTCATACGTTTAATCTATCAAACCCACATACATACACATACAATATATTGTATACAGCAGCTCATGCATTGCCAAAGCCTCAAGCCCAACCCACAATGTCACGCCCAACCTCACCTGCGAAGGGTAGGCCGTGGCCTTAGGGGACGGCAGAAGGATTGGCCCAAGTTATGGTGAAGAAGCACTGGTTGAAGCAGTCACATATTGTGAAGAAGCCAGAGCACATCACCAGATCATGTCATTCTATTGCAGTCCCCTAAGGACATCGTCTGGTATATCACCCAGCCTGGGGGTGACCATGACTGCTCCCGTTTCACCAGCAAAACTAACACCCACTCTACCTGCTACTGAAGACTACAACGTGGTCATGGATCTTTGAGGCCGGTGACATCGAGGACCTGAAAGCCATGGATCAAAGGAACCTTTCAAACATTCGATATCGTCCATGGAGTTCCCTGTCCATTCGATATCGATAAATGCTAGATTGCTTCCATTGAGTTTCCTACGTCTTAAACCGCAAGAAACACACCTCGTTGTGGGGCAACCGTGTTGTTCTCCATTTGCCTTTTGGGCTTCGGGGCGTTTTTCTGGGTGCAAGCACTGCCGTCGTCCAAGCACTGCCGTCGTCTCTCTATCTTTCCGGCGCCCTTAGGGCGTCCAGTTGTGAAGGCGCTCCAACGTTGCCGGCAACAAAACACATGCAACGACGACAACCCTAACACATACCGTCGCGGCAAACCATGCCACAATGCCAATCACATACAGTAACACCAAGACCTATGCCTTGACAACAACTTGAGCCCTTGTGTTGGAGAAAAGATCTTGTTCCACAAACCACTAAAAGCTAATCTCCAATGCACAGCTGGAAAGGCTCGGAAGTTGCGGCAGGTCCGCACAAGCAAGGAGATCTGCAATTCGCTGCGGGAGAGGAAACAAAACACGACAAATCATGTGTAATTAATCAATAAAACCGTATCATCAATAAAGCATTGGCCACTCTTGAGGCCCAGGTCAAACAGTTGATTGAACATCACCCATAAGTAAGCAAGCAGCGCAGTTAAGACAAACAATGTCAAAATGAATGTTGCAACGTGCGGTCATTTCACGGTTTCCACCACATGTGAGTGTCGAGCCCCAACTTGAACCTGCTTTCCGGCCAATGAATTCTGGAAAATGTGGCAAAGCCAAACGGCCATGTGGCACTCTCTTTCAGAAGTTCCATGCAGCATAGCTCAGCCTCTTGAGGGGACTCTGGGCGTGTTCACCACACAACAAACCCAAATTGGCGAAAAATCCTTTCCAACTATTGCTTCAGGCTGGGTCCCAACATTGGATCAACACGCACAGCTTTTGACAGCAACATACATCGACGTTCAGTGACCAGAATACAAAGCTGACAGTTCGCATGGCCGCATCGTACAGTAGCGAATCCGCGAATCTTTGTCGCGCAAGCCGTGTGGGCCGTGGCCGGTCTGGCTGCAGTGGCAGCCCACAGCTGGTTGAGGATGTTATGGCAGCCGCCAAGGCGCCCATCCACATCCCAAAGGCATGGTTTCATTTGTTTTGAGATGAATGACATGTGGAAAATGGAACAGTTCGCTACATTCTGGTCGAAAAAGGAGCCGCCGAGTGAGAAGACCGGCCGGCCCGTGGATCTAAGGCAAGCGATATGTCATTTCGAATCAGCCCTCACCAATGAAATCACGAAAGATGTGCATGAAATGATTGAACATGAGTGAGGGATACAATGAGGGCATCGACTCTTTTTCATGACTTGGGCATCGATCTGCTGTCGTCTTGAAGCGTCTTGTGCCACAAGATCATTCCTCTCTGGTTCACGATCAGGTGATGATCTGGTCCACCACGCAGCTGGTCTTCTTTCTGCAGTTCGCTGAGGTGGACGCGGAAGCCGAGGGGCACAGACTGCCTGGGGAGCGAAGGCGATGGCAGGTCGAAGAGATGGCAGGCGATGGGGTCTCAATGTGCCGCAACAGTGAAATCGGCAAATGCAAAGGACCAAGGACTGGGCCTTGAGCAACAAACATAGACCTATCATGTGGCTGCTGGAGGCTGCCATGTCCAAAGAAAAGGCATAATTCATAAAGGTTTGGTGTGTATGTTTTTCGCTTCTGGCTGCATACTCTCACCGAGGAATTGTTGAGTTTGGTAGTGATATGGTGAGACCATCTTGGCAATTGCCTGTGAATCGAAACTTACCTAGAGTTACAAAAGCATACAAAGGCTTTGCTGAGCAAAGCAAAGCAGCCATCCGGGCAGCAAACATCGCCGGAGCAAAAGTACTGCTGGCCAGACTGGTCCTGAAGTTCCAGCGGGCTTAAAAGTCTGAGACTGCTCTGCAAATCCAAAGCAACCAGTGGTGTGATAATGCAGGCTGTGACACATGTTGATCCTTTTCTTGGGGACATCGAAGTCGATATATATCATTCTATCTCCCCACCTATTCCTATCATTCTATCTAACGTATATAATCATAACTACATATATAAACCACCCAGAAGTTCCCGTAATCATTTGGATCATAACAATATTATTGAGTTATGCATATAATGTATCATACTATCATTATGTATCCTTCCGAATGCCCACAATTGTGCACCACCGTCAGTGCTACCCCTAGTCCCCGGTCCCACCAACTGTGTAAGAGAAGTGCGCGCTCCCCTTCAAGCGTGCGTCGCCGCGTGTGCGCTTCAACGACCATGTGGCAGGGCAGGGGACAAAGTCGCCCACGTGGCACATATCCAAGGTTCGGGCCTTCGTGAGGCCTTTCACCTCGGAAAATTTGTGGCCTGAACAAACCGTGAAACCCAGTCTGTGCGGAATCAGCTACCCGATCCAAAGGGAAGTAACTTGAAAACACCTGGCTCAGCACGAGACAACACTTGAAAGAATGAATGATCATTGTACACTAGGTGTGTGACCTTTTTTGGCCGGGATTTGTGATTTCGCAATTTCGAGCCTAAACTCTTGCATCTCTTTAAACGTCTTGCTAGTCAAACGGGCATGGATAGATTGCACATGATTGCACATACTACATGTGCAAACATGCATCAAGCAAAGAATCCAAGAACCCTTCAAGAACAAGTTGTGAGGAACTACAAAATTCCTTCCAATTATAACAGAAAGTCTAGACCGCCATCTCGAATCACTAAACACATGCACGCTGCTCGACCTATAGTAAGGCAATTCTTTACTTGTGCACTGTCAGCACTGTTTCACGTTGTGACTTGAAGAAACCTTAGCCAAAGGGCCGCTTCATGCGACATGTAGGAATTGTTGAATCGAAACGGCTACTAAAGCAAAGTCGCGCAATTCAACTTCTTGGGGTGTGGACAACCTGCAGCTGGGTCTTCCATCCAGCCCCATGATGGGCAAAGGCTGCCTGGTGAATCGACTTCCGAGCCGTTTCCGTCAGTAAAGTCACGGTCAAGCTTTCTCTGTCGTCGTGAAGAAGGC